ATAATGCTTATAATGTTTACTTGTCAATGTATAGTCTTAAAGAAGAGGAAACAAATAAACATTGCCTATTGCCATATAAGTAGAGACTACTACGGCTTAATCTGGTGCTCTGATATAATCATTCTAAATCATTTTTATTTGTTGATTAAAGGAAGAACTTGAACTAAATAACTATTTGGCCCATTCTTTTCTTTACCTGTACACACTGGCTCAGACAGACTTTTTCCTTACTTACTAAAGGTAGTTTTATTATACTTAAAAAAGTAAATAATTTCACTTACCAAAGGCCTGTAATCAAGTCAAAGTCTGTTAAAGACACAATGAACTTTGAAATTGGAAGTGTAGGCAGAAGTCTAATTCATGGATTGGCTATTTCTGTCCCTCTGTGTGGGCATTTGGTGTTAGTTGTCATTGGGCCACTGACATTGTGAGAATTCCGCTTAGTCCTTATAACTCTGCCTGGCCTCCTGAGACCACCAGACACTCCCATGGACAAATGGACTAGCTTCAGCGTTCTAGTCATAAAGACCTCCTCTGTTGCCTTTTAAGAGAAGAAACAGGCAGAACCACCAATGAAGACGGGAAAGCTATTTCTGTTCTGCTTTATTCTGATCAGATTTGAACAGCAAATATCAGCAGGGGAAGGTCTGCGTTGGTCTGAACTGCTTGTGTAAAGAACTTTGGCATCCAACGGCCCATCTGCTTACCCTGGCCCTGGCTCTGTGGCTCAGAGTATAAATCAAGCAAATGTGGAGTCCTATGCCTTCAACGCTGAGGAAGGACACCTGTACTTCAAGGCAGGGAGCGAATTCGTATAACTTATTCCTTTGCAGCTTTAGAACCATAATGCATACTTTCTTTTCTCTTAACCCCTTTAGATGTAATTCAAATCACAACATCCATTGTCAAGGAGGGTGCTGCTTTTGATGTGGCATCTTTTGATTCTTTTCTCAGTTTGGTGGAGTGAAGCTTCCTTATTCCTGCCAGTCTTTGAGCTGCACGTCAGGGGAGGCGGATGAGTTTATAATCAACAAATCCTTATCCTGAGGACTGGAGTGGAGCTGAAGTGTCTGTCTCCCGAGCTTCTCTTTCAAGGACACCGCTACAAAAGCAAGTTCTCCTTCAAAGACCCTATCATTTCTCGACTCCCCTCGCAGCTGCTCGGCAGCCCCTGTGCAGCCACCACTCCTGCCGCCGCATCTGTTGATTTATTGCCTCTGAACCGGCTGAGGCGTCGCTGGCGATGAGTCTCATGGTAATTACCGATGGCATATTTGCAGCCTGCTTGTTTCTTCCCTCAGCTCACTTGGATTCACACTGATTTTGTTCAGTCAACAATCTGACAAGTTACCCAGAGTACTTTTTTTTCTTCTCATTGTCCCTGAGCGTATCTCTCTGTCACAGCCTACCTTAAGCATGCAGGGTGGGGGCTTTGTGTATCTGCTGACTGAGACAGGCTTTTCCGTGACATAGCCCAAAGTCCAGATAAGGCCCTTGCTTCAAAGCTGTTCTGAATTCTGCAGGTATCAGAGGAAGGGTTGCTGGAGAGCACTTCAAACCCTTCCACAGGGGTGGCCGGTTAGCTCAGCCGGTTAGAGCGCAGTGCTCATAACACCAAGATTGCTGGTTCGATCCCTGCATGGGCCACTGAGCTGCACCCTCCACAACTAGATTGAAATGACTACTTGACTTGGAGCTGATGGGTCCTGGAAAAACACACTGTTTCCCAATAAAAATAAAAAAAAAACCCAACAACCCTCCCCCCCAAAACAAACAAACAAACGAACACCAAAAAAAAACACAAAAACCCTTCAATAGACTTGTTTTTCAGTCTCCTCGTCTTCCGAGTTCACTTTCCCAGGCTGGGTTAAGTCTGAACAGCTCTCTAACAGGTGATGTCTCCTATGGATTCTGATATCCCCCTTTAACAATCTTTTAAGGAAGGATTTTATGCCAAGTTTAGAATCTTAAAAGGCAAACCAAGGAAACTACCATAGGGTTAAACCTATAGTTGACAGAAAAGTCAGTTTTCCCTATGATTAGGGTGCATTTGGACAAAGTGGACTGTATTCTTGGTTATATCCTGGTAAACTCAAGCATTTTCTTTTGTTACTCTTGTCACCATTTTATTTTGTTACCTCCCACCCCTTGGCCAATCTTATTAAAATACATTTTATCTTGGACAAAAAATTCTGTTTCATGATATAGTCTGTTTTGCCGATGCTGAGAGAATTATGATGGTCCTTAGCTGTGGGCACTCCTTTTACATTGGGGGCATTTGTATGTCTGTGAATGTGGCCACTTCCCTGGCTTCCTCCTGGTGATGGAAAGAGTTAACCCAGCAAGCGTGTGACTGCTGTCCTTAGAAAGGTTTGCTTGCAAAGTTGGCCTTGGCTGGCACCTGGGACTATGACTGGTAAATTGTCCCATACACTAATATAAACCTTTCCCTAAAGGATGGGGGCGTGTCACTGCACCTCAACTGTTTGTAGAAACAATGTAGTTTATGTTGAACACCTGCCTTCTTTAGGGGAGTCTGGAATTTTGTTTCATGCTTGGCTGAGTGTGCCTGATGATGGGCCTCCAGTAGAAACCTTAGACACTGAGTCTCTAATGCTCTAATGAACTTCCCTGGCCAGTAATGTCACACATATGTTGCTGCATTTTTGTTGCTGGGGGTAGAATGCTGTCTGGTGATGAGAAAGAGAGAGAGAGAGAGAGAGAGAGAGAGAGAGAGAGAGAGAGAGAGAGAGAGAGTATTTTTCCCCTTATGAACCCACTGTGTATCCTTACTAAATGACTGTAATAAATCTTAGCTGTGAGTACATCTATATCCTGTGCCCCAGAAGTCCTTCTAGCAAATCTCTGAATGTGGGGTGCTTCTGGGGGTCCCTGAAACTCTCATCATTTGTTACTATGAGATTCTAGAAATATCATTTGGTGGCATTATCCTCAAAGACGCTGATCTGATCCCTAACCTTCTTGGTTTCTCACGTGTACCCATGCATCTTTTAGCTTAGATTTTCCCAAAAGCTAATGTTTCCTTTGTTTATGATTATTCTTTTACTTCCCTAAAGGAGATTGCTCTTCTGTATTAAATTTGCTCTTTTGTGACATAATCTCTAAAGTTATTTTACTGTCACAATCCATGTCTATCTGACATCAAAAGTAGCTCACGAGCTCTCCCATTATCAGCAGGTATGATTTAATGTTACATTTTTTAACATACTTAGAAGAAATTCTGTAATACTGCTAGAGTTTTGGTCCCTCAAAAGTGTGCCCAGATATTTAACAAACTCTCCGTGTTGGTTAATTATAGAATTTAACCTTAGATATTTTGGGATGATATTAAGAATTAATGTTGACAGGATCTTGAATTTTTGTCTTGTTCAAAAACATGTTTTTACTTTTTCTTGACGATGCGCTGAGGCAGCTTCATTCTTCTACATTACAGGTTATGCCACAGCTCGGTCAGCAGCACTGTTCTAACCACTCACTAGCGACAAGCAGCTGGTGTGGTGGACCCTGGGAGGATGGCCCATAATGGGTCTACAAAAGAATGGGAAGCTCAGGATTGCCATGTTGCTCAGATTAACTTTTTAAAGATCAACTGGTTAGAACAGTAAGAATAATATGAACTCTATGAAAACCGCTTGGTGCAGGTCTTGCCATGGAGTGGAACATACTTGTACAATGAGGTATTTTTTAGAAGTGATAGAATCTCATGGGTCAGTTTGATATTACAGAATCACTAAATTCTCAAGGGTGCAAAAAGGTATTCTATTTCAAGAGTTCGCATTCTTTATTAAAGGATTAATGCCAGTGCCATGTAACAAGATCAGGTCTAGGCTTATTGCTAATATTAACATTTAAAAATATTTTATTGGATCCAAGCATTAAGGGTGGGAGCCTGGGATGAACTATCTCTTTGGGCGTAGGGTCAGCCCCACAGAAACTTCTGAATCCTTTGTGACTCTGAATGTGAGGGCTTATCAACCCTGTCTGTAGGCTTTGGGGTATGTTTAAGACCCTGGAAACAAAGTATTTAAGGGCTTTTGAATTCATATATTTCAACTGAACTCAGGACTATTTTGTCCTACTGAATAAGGAAGTGTTCAATTATTAGGTAACATAAGCAAAAAGTGTAATTTGAGAGGGAAAAGTACTATTTAGAACTGTTTTTGGGGGGCATGGGGATGAGGGGTGAAAGTGAGAGTCAATTTATCTAGATCAACAATTTGAGCTAATTATTCAAGTCAGCAGTTAGAGCCCATTTCCCCAATCTGGACTGGTATTAGTTACACTGCACTTCCCTGATATCTGTCTGTCTCTCTGTCACTCTTGAGATTAATTAAAGAGCAACTCAGGTCATGTAATGACCAGCCAGCAGTTCCTTCGTAATGCCATCAGTGGTGACTTAGATGGGCTGCTGGAAAATAACACCATTAAAGATTTCAGAAGGCAAATATATGAACTAAAATGCACTTTAATGCCTTCCTCAAAAGCATATAGATACACAAGTGTGAATTTTTTGAATATCCCTAAATGCCAAGGAAATGCAACCATTGAATGAACTGAAGTTTCCATTTTAATCTTCACATCCTAAAGATTGTTCTTGCTTGTACCCTCACCCCAGGTACATATCCTATGGGACAGTGCGACACATGAGCGATTTTAGGAAATAACTGATAGATTACTGTGGACTCAAATGAACAGGAAAGTTCAATATCTTAGTGGTGGCTGGATCTCCCAGCACACTCAGAGATGCCCTGAAAGGGTCTACATTTGCTCTCCTAAACATTCTTTAACTACGGGAGCAAAAGAAAGTGCTCACACACATATATATCTTGTACTTAAATGTACATATGTGCATAGATATCTATAGATAGCTAAATATATACTTAGGTAGAATTAGAGAACCAGCATGATTTGCTAAATAAGAACAGGCATTCACAGTACATGGAAGGAACAGAGGAAAGGTGAATCAACATGAAACGCACCGTACTCGGGGACCTGCCCCGTCCCCCGCTTCAGCAGCAGCCTCACTCTTCTTCCTCCAGATTTGATGACTTCTATCGCTCTGGCGTGTGTCATGTCCCTTGTGCTCTCCCCATTGATTTCAATGATTTGATCTCCTACCTGTTAATTAAAGAAACATGAAGTCAGCCACAGATGGTTCTATTCCAGTTGTATTTCCAAAAGATGAGGAAAGCATCGTAGAGTACCAGCTTCCAGAGAGCATCTGAACAACTTGGTTGCAGCCAGCTGCTCCATGGAAGAGACTAATCCCTGGCTGCATCCTGAATCTGACCACCAAACTTAATTTATCTTGATAGAAATTAAAATATCAGACCACGGAGGATGTGGTGATATGTCACTTATATTCAGCCAATATAGAAGAGACTATAGTTAAACTTTTAGCTTTTTTTTTTTTTAAATTAGGGAATAGGTTTGATACTACAGTTCCAAATAACCCGGCACCTTTGCTTTGAAACAAGAAATATTTGAAGGCCTTTTCATAGCATGGAGTGCCAGCTTTGGGCATAGTGCAGCATCTAATTCAGCGTGTTGGATGGAAAGATTGTTTTTTTGGTCCCCTCTGCGAATTTTTATTATGCATTATTTAAATTTCCCTGGGTACTATTGTGCTATTGCTTTCTTTGTAAATAGTGCTTGGTTGATATTCAAGTTTGATGATGAGTTTTCTCTCATAGTCCTCTGAATTGGAAATGAGACCCTCCATTCTCCACACAGAACTAGTATCCTTGCTAAATCTCTGCCATGCTCACACCTGGTTGCCAGGAGCTGTTTGGTTAACTACCCATCCCTCCTGATTTGTCAGAAATGCCTGGGTTCCATAAGTAATTCCCAGTTAGCCTTCGTGTATAGATCTTTGGAATAAAAGAAGTTCAACCATGAGCACATCATGTAACTCCCACAGCACCATTATTGTCAGGACATTTTGAATGAAAATATGTTTCATTTCAGTGCAAGTCACTTAAGACAAATTAGCTAGGAAATGCACAATGAATTGCTTTGCGAAAATGCTATTTTAGTTGGGTCCCTTAAACAAAGCAGATCTCAGCCTAAAGTCTATAATGCAGATGGAATTGCAAATAAACTCTCTATAGGAGAGCATTGTCAAGGTGGGTGCTGCAGGGTGGGCAAGAACAGGAACAAAAAGGTGCCAGCATAATGGCAAGGGCACTAAAATCAGACCATCTCCCCAAAAGTGGGGGGAAAGAACAAACACATGTTTGTTGTAGCAAGGAAGTAACATCTCCATGTTAAGAGGATTCTTTTTTTAAAGATTTTATTGGGGAATTGGGGGAGGGTAACAGTGCTGGGGAATTGGGGGAAGGGGAACAGACAAGTTGCTGTCCTTTTGTTCTTTAGTCTAGTTGTGGAGGACGTTGCTTCATTGGCCCAAGTTGGCACCATCATTGCGCTCTTCCCGGGCGAGGCAGATCAGTCGCCGGTTTCTGGACGGCTGCTCACTGTGGTCTGGCCGCTCACGCTGGCTGCTGGCTACACACGGTAGCCCATGGCAACCCACTGCAGCAGGGGCTGCAGCCTACGCCATCGCCGGCGACTCATGGCAGCCCAGCTCCAGGTTGAGCTGTTGTTCAGCATCTTAGCTGTGGAGGGCAGTGTCACTGGCCCTCATATGTGGGATCCGAACCGGGGCCCTCTGTCATCCCAAGCCAGTTCTTAACCATCGCGCCACTCGGCCGGCCCAAGAGGATTCTTTATGGGTAAGGGTTCCAATGCAGTGAAGGGAAAGACCTCCCCCTTTGTGCAGTACCCAGCAGCCTTCGGAAGTATGGTTTTCAGGTGGTGAAAGAGGTTGGTTGGTCTCACTGCATGACTTTCACATTCCAGAGAAGAATCACGAAAGACAGGACTAAATTAATTTGTTTTAGAGCCAATGTTTGAAGCATTTTTCTTCATGTCTCCTTAACTATCTCCTTTCCCATAAGGCAACAGGCACAGCCCAGAGTTGAGTAGTTTGCCAGAGGCCCCGTATCCCAGCGAGAGGCAGGTGTGGGGCCAATTATCCCTCTCCCAGGAGTTCCCACCCATGGCTGAAACCTCATGGCACTGAATTAAATTGTAGAAATAAAACAAAAGTTCCGATGAAGTTATAATACAGTCTTCATTCCTAGCTGGACTTTTGAGCTTCACATATCCGACTGATTACTGAACGTCTTCACCTGGAGGATCAGCGGGCCGCTCCAGCTTCACATCAGCAGACTGGGCTTCCCATCTTTCTCCAAAGGCAGTTTTTCCCCTTGATTACTATGGCTGGTTAATGCTACCACCATTCACACAAGCCAGAAACCTGGGGGCCATGCCAGGCTCCTCATTCCCTCAACTTGTCTGCATTTATCTCTGCTCTCAAATTTTACCCCAGTTCAGGCCTTTACCTGGATTATTCTAATAACCTCCTGTTACCCTACTACCAATATCTTCTCATTGTCACCAGTCGTTCTTCTCAGGGAGATCTTCTCAAATGCATCACGCTGGCTGACTCACCTAGGGCCTCCCACATGCCCCCATTCTCTTTGCCTTCTCCCCATAGGTCTGGGGATCTCACAGTCTTCCTAAAGGCTGGCCGCAGCATCTTCTTTGGGATACCTTCCTAGACCCAGTCTTCTTCGCAAGCAGAAGTGTCCCATCCATCACTGCACCCACTCTGTTAATTCTCACATCTCATACAGAGTTATGCTTCTCTGTCTTCCCTCCTAGACTTTGAGTTTATTCACTCATCAAACAATTTCTGTGCACCTGTTATGCACCAGATAGTCTACTGGAGAGATACGATCAATATAGTGATAAATAGTAAATTTCTATCTACAACACATTTTCAGTCTAGTTGGAGATAAAGTGGGTAAATAAGATTATTATTCACTATATCTTTGCTGTGACAGAAGTATTAGCAAAGTGCTAATGGAACAGAAAGGGGGGGCATCTAACTCAGAATGGGTGGGGCTGCTAGTAGGGGAGTCTCCTGGAGGGGGTGACATCTCAACTAAGTTTTGAAGTATCAGTAAGAGTTCCCCAGGTGAAGGTGGAGGAAAAGCACTCTAGGTAGAGAGAGCAGCATACGCAAAGGCCCTAAGATCTGAGAGCATGGCATATTCGGGGAACTGTCAGTTTATTCTGCTACTCAGGAATTCAGGCTTTATTTGAAAGGCAATAGCAATGCACTGAAAATTTTAAACAGGGGGTAACCTGACCTGGGAAGCAAAGGGATATTTAAAATCTCCCTCAGACATCAGTATGGAGAGTGAGCTGGAGAGAAAGTTGGAGACTGAAGAAGGGAGTCGAAGTCGTGAGGTTATCACATCATCTATCCAAGCGAGAAAATGGGAGGCCATGGGGAAGAAGATGGGACCAATGACAGCGGGGACCATGTCCCATTTAACTGTGTATCTTTTATGGGGTGCCCTGTATATATTTATGAATTAATGAAGTGTTTCCACAAGGCTCATCTTGAGAACCATGGGAGAAGGGGTCATAAGCGCTCTTGACCTGAAAATCAAACCTTGACAGCCACCACTGCCCAAGGACGCTTCTGTCCTGAGACTGACTGTTTCAACAAGAATCATGTGGAGGGCAAAAGGAACCTCGCAGTGTGACAGAAATAGTCACATATTTTAGTACAGCAAGCCTTAGAAAGTTTGATGTTTTCATTGTCTTGTATGTTTATTTTCCCCTTTCCCCACTAAGAGCTCACGAGAATTCAGGGAGAAAAAATTAGCATGGCAGAGTGAGTGGTGGTTGGAAGACTGTGGGGAAGGTTGAGAAGCAGTGGGGTTCAAGGGCTGCCCTGGGGCTGGGCTGCATCGCCCATGTGGGCATTTCAGGGCTGGGACTCTGGAAGCAGTTGGGGATGTCATTTTTATTGAGTTCCAAGGAGCCTGAGCTGACCTCTTGGCTCGACAGATTTTCAAAATTTCTTTTCCATGTAGGGTCCCCTCAGAGGGAGAAGAGAACAACTCTGGTGCCAGTGGAATGGAGGGTCCTTAGCTGCTTGTCTGAGACTTTTAGTTTCTCCCAAGCCTCCTCCCCATTCCAGGGTGCCAGTGCTGAGTTCCTGCCTCATTAGAAGCAATGGAAGTTTGGGACTAGTCCAAGATCTTACTAAATTCAGAAAAAAAAATTCTTTTGGTGGTGGTGGTGCTGCCACTGTTATAGACTTTGAATCTTACAAGGTGTTCTGGGCATACTGAGAAAACAGGCCAACTCAATGGGACCTAGTGTCAGCAGTGACAAACCCACGCAGGTCCAGCCTCAAGGCTCCTGTCTCTCCTAGGAAAGTGATGGACATTGTAAAAAGGTTTCATTTTCATTTTCATTCTAACATCAGTATTATGTAGGGTCATTTTAAATTAAACTCCCTAAATCACTTTGGGATGTGATTCGTTTCACTGACATCCTCTTAGTTTCTGGATGTATTAGGAGATGGACCTGTCAGGGGGAAAAAAACTCTCTCACTACCTTCCCAGCTTGTCTGACTTCACTGCAGCTGCGAGGGTGTTGCCTGTAGAACAGTGCCACTTTCCTACATCACATGTGAGTCAGTTGGGAGAATTAATTCTGATAAAACCAATGGAAAATTGGCAGTCTTTTCAGGGATTACAAGAAATACCAGTTGTAACTCAGATGTAGTCTTTTCTCTCCATCCTTTCTCCACCACAGAGCTATCTTCAACTGAGCTATGTTACTAAAATGAAACTATAAAGATCTCCACTTGTTCTTAGGGAATGTTTAAACATCAAGGTCTAGTTAGAAATGAGAGAGATATGGGGACATGTGGTGGGGGTTGGGGGGGAGAGGAAGAAAAAGGAGGAGGAGAGAGGGATGGAGGGAGAGATAAATAGAGACCCAAACCAGATAAAGGTAGTTCAGGAATGTATGTGGGTCAAAGAGACATTAAATTTAGGAAACTAACCAAAGAAGTGAAGATGAATTTAGGCATTTTTTTTAATGGAAGGAATATTTTTATCTGTGGTCCCCGTGGGGCAACTAATAATTTCACAGCAATGTCTTAGGGGCAAGGCGAGTGAGATAGGACTGCCTGGCACGGCCTAACAAGTTCTACATTTCTGTGTATACATCACGGCAGAGCTTTC